ATTAAAAATAAACGGATTACTATTTAACTTAATTCACTACCATAATCTTACACCAAACTTTCTTTCAATTTTTTGCTTTTATTTTTTAAATAAATTAAATAATATAATAATAATCAATTAAAATAAAAAAATGATATTAATAATTGAGAATATGATTTTTTTTTTATTTATATACCAAGGAGTTAAAAACTTGGTATTATAGAGATTTGAATATCTTATTTTCGTCTTAAATTAAGGTTTTAAAATTAGTGAGTATTAACTTAATTAAGCTCTTATTGGTATAATTGAGAATATGATAATATACCACTCATAATTTTATTAAGAATTTTTTTAATTTGTAACTTAAGGCACAAGTTAAGATGTATTTATTGTATATTTTTATCTTCAATTTGTATGCAAAATTATGAAAGTAAATTTCATTTTTAACACTAATACCACATGAAACAATTTAATTAAATGATTGATAAAATTAAAGTTAACTTTTTTTATGTAAATTAATAATAATAAAGTAAAGATAATGATCTAAATAATTCAATATTAATCTTTTGCTCATAAGTTTGAATTACATAGCATACAAGTGTATGGGTTGAGAAATGAAAAAGAATTGCTTCTTATTATATAACTTAAGATTAAATAATAATAATAATAGTAAGATGAAAGTGTAAATCAAATTTGACTCTAAAAAAATTAAAATCCTAAATTACATTTAAAAATTAAAATTTCAACTCAAAATTTAAAAACTTCATCTATTAAATGTTAATATCTAGATTTGAATATTGGTTATATATTTTAATATACTATTAATTTTTAAATCTAAATATTAATTTTTAATAAGATAAATTTTAATAATATAAAATGATATCATTTAAAGTAAATTTTTTTTAATTGACAATAATACATATTTTTTTAATAATAATAAATATTATAACAACACTCTTTACCCATGCGTTAGACTTATTAAAAAAATTATTTTTTATTAATCACGGTTCCATCACTTCCAATTTTGGTTATTGCAAGCTTTTCCATTGCATTTATACTGATAATATTAATTTATGTTATTTAGAAAATGAGTAAGCGTCAAACTTTATATTCAAATTTTATGTCATCAGAAATGCCATCATTTTACTTTTTAGAGAGAAA